CCAACTTTTTTAATAAGGGTATTATAGTAATCTTCCTTCCCCTCTAATTTTTTTTGTCGCACCACCCCTTATTTCCTCGGCTTCTTGCACACAGAGGTCCGTTAATTCTCGTCCCATTCATTACAACTTCTACTAAAAGAAAGACTTGTCATCAAGTCTCAAGAGTCAAGTCAGGTATGGAAATTCAGAAACTTGATCTTGAACTTGTCCAGGAATTCCCCTATGGCGTCCTCATCATTCTAGTGAGAGTATTGTACTAGAATCCGTGCTGCTGTAACACTGTTTCGAGCAGCAATTCTTCATGCCGGGACAACCAAAGGCTCAATCTTCAAGGTTCCATCAGCATGACATCATCCACCTTAGGCAAAGCTGCTTGCACTGTTAACTGTGCCAACTTCAATAGAGAAACTTGAAACACTGGATGAATACTACTTCCTGGTTGCCGCTCCAATTTGTAAGCAACATGTCCCATCTTCTATCTAAGTGATAAAAAAAAAATGGTCCATAGTAATTAGGTGAGAGCTTTTGAGTTGTCCTTTGAGCCAGAGAAGCCTACATGTAAGGTATGAGCTTCACATACACCAGTCATTCTCTTGAAATTCCCTCTCCAACATGTGTTTATCTTTTCAGCCATTTGCTTTTGTTTGTTATTTGCTAAAGCTAGATTGTGCCTAAGCAATCCCACCAACTTCTGCTGCTGCTGCAATTTTTCTGCCACGGCTGCTATAGAGGTAGATAATGGGTTTCGTATGGCAAATTGAGATTGTGGGTGGCCCGTAGCCTTACAAGGCTGGTATGGAAGTTGGCGTTTTACTACCACTCAACCATTCGTAACTAGGCTGCCCAGCTAGCATGATTGTTATGTTATGCAGCATCTTAAGTAGTCTTCTCGCCAACGATCCAGCTTTTCAGTTTGTCCATCCATTTGGTGGTGATATGTTGTGGAATACATAAAATCAGTGCCTTGAAGCTCAAATAAAGTTGTCCAAAAAGTTGTAGTGAAGACTGGATATCTATTAGATACTATGGTCTTAGGCATCCCATAATCTAAACAACCCATCTAAGATTACAAACCGGTTGAATTAAGTCTCTTGGCACCTTTAGAGACAAAGCACCTAATTCACCGCTATTTAATTTGTGACTGTTTTGTTTTAAGTGCAAAGGTTTGTTACCGAATCGTTACAAATTAAATGTTTGTCATGTTTTGAGGTCGGGTAGTTTGTTCGTTAAGTATATAACACTAACCACTTAAACGACATATAAGATGTCAGGTCATGTGTTCATCGACATATTTGCTTTGCCGAATAAGAATGCCCTCAGTTGACCTTTGAATTTCGATACCAAGAAAGTAAGAAAGTACACAGAGTTTTTTCAACTAAAAAGCAGTCTGGAACCCGTTTGTGAGCCATTGAATTCTTTCATTGTCATCCTTTATGACGATCATATCATTCACATACATTAACAAAACCACCATACAACTAGAGCGAATTGTAACGGTGATTGATCGTTCAAACTTTTGAACTTAATTTGTACAAAACGGTCACCAAAAGTCTAATTTGCAACGACATGGTAACAAAAGTTTGAACTGGTATGAAATGGTCACACTGTTTAATTTGTGACCGTTTTGTTCTAAGTAAAAAGTTTTGTTATCAAATGGTTACAAATTAAAGATTTGTGACTGTTTTGTACTAAGTGCAAAGGTTTGTGACCATTTATGCTAATTACCCATTTTATATGTTTTGTTTGTCTCCAGAGATAATAAGAAAACTTTTCCAAACCGGTTTGACAACTTTTTTTTTTTTTTTTGGCAAAGGTAGTATGTATTAGATAGGGAATTATAGATTGTTAAAAAATAGATAGCGGAAATCAGCCAAAAGCTGATTAGCCGATGCAAGAGCTGTTTTCGCCACGCAATGGGCAGCCCTGTTAGTTCTACGAGGAGAAAATACAAAACGAATAAACGCGAATGATTCTTTCATCTGCCGGACTTCTTCCAATATCGCTCCCCCACGATTGTGGTCTTGTCGCGCCTCCGAAGCTCGCCGAATCACCGTTTGGGAGTCCCCACAGAAACAAACAGAGGAAAGGCCCCGAGTTAAGCACCAGTCCATTGCATCCCGTAATGCTAACAGTTCCATAATGAATGGATCAAATAAGCCAGAGTAGTACTTACCGTGCGCAAACGAAATTACCCCGGCCGATGCGAACCCCACGAATCCTACGCTGCCACCGACCTCCTGCCGTGTAGCTCCATCAAATCTAACCAGGAAACCGCCTGGTGGGCAATAAGGTTCGAGCTGCTGATGATTTTGCCCCGGCTGACAGGGCAACGCACTTGCTGGGGACGTGGTTGCTGCTGTCCATTCCTCTCTTTGGTGCTGAAATTGCCGAAACAGAGGCCCGGGAAGATACTGGATGTGGTCATAGCAGGACCAGCAGCGCGCTTTCCATATCCGCCATGTTAGGAACACGATTTCCGCCATTTCTAATTTACTGAGGTGTCTAGAGGTTAACACTTGTACCCAGGCCTCGTGGGTAGGTAGCTCTGCTAACTCCTCCCTAAGCTGCGCTTTCCCCGCCAACTCCCAGACTCCACGCGCGATCCTGCAATCAAAAAGACAATGGGAAATTGATTCCATCCCATCCGAGCACACAGGACACAAAGCAGATTCGCAGAGCTTCTTTGTGTGCAGCACGGATTGGCACGGCAGGAAGCCCCTGACTACTCGCCACAAAAACACACGCAATTTTGGAGGGACAGGTAAACTCCAAAGAATTTTCCAGAACCTGTTATCCAACGAAGAAGGAAGATTGTTAAATAAATCAGCACGTTCATCCGATAACAAATGGTATCCCGATTTGACAGTATACTGGCCGGATTCCGAGTAGTGCCAAATAAGGCGGTCCGGCTTGGGAGATAAAGGAATCGGAATTGCCAAAATCCATTTAATGCTGTCAGGGGTGAAAAGGGCTTGAAGGAGGTCCTGGTTCCACGCTCTCGTCAACGGATTAATGAGGCAAGCAACAAAGGGGTTAGGAAGCGAAGTACCTGGAAGCAGGGAAGGGGAAGATGGGGGAGTAGTGGGCAGCCATAGGTCATCCAGAATCCTGATGGCTGTTCCACAACCTACCTGCCACCGTAGTCCTTTGAGTAGCAATCTTCTCCCTTCGAGGACCCCTTGCCATGCCCAGGATGGGCGGTTTCCTGTTGGGGCTCGAAGGAACTCACAAGTGGAGTGGTAGCGCGCTTTGTACAATTGGGCCAGTGTTGATGATGGAGATTGCAACAACTTCCAAGCTTGTTTCGCGAGCATCGCTACATTGAAGAGGTCGAAGTCCCTGAAGCCCAGGCCCCCTCGAAATTTACTAACACAGACAGCCGGCCATGAAATCCAGTGCATCCCTCTGTCTTTGTCCTGACTAGCCCACCAAAACCTCGAAAGCTGACTATTCATCCGACGACAAGTGGTGGTGGGGAGTCGGAACGAGAGCATCGCGTACACTGGGATGGCAGAGCCAACTGCCTTGATGACCACCTCTTTCCCTGCTAAGGACAGCGCCTTGGATTTCCAATTCTGAATGCATTGAGCCAATCCATCCTCGAGGAATCTAAAGGTCTGTACCTTGGAGCGATGAATCTGTGCTGGCAATCCCAGGTAGCGGTCCAGTTCTCCAATCGAATCAACCCCCAAGGCAGCAGCTAGCTCCGAAGCTTCTTGAGCCGTCACATTTGAACTAAAGCACACCTTTGATTTCTGAAGGTTAATCTTCTGCCCGCTGGCCGTCTCATAGAGGTTCAAGAGCTGCAAAAGTTGCGAGCATTCTTGTCGGATGCCCCGTTCCGGGCGGAAGTAGCCATGTGTGTGTCCATTCAGCTGTACAGAGAAGGACACAGTGGTTACACAAGCCTTTATTAGCTTTATCCATCTAGCATCAAATCCTAACGCCTCCATGACACCAAATAAGAATCCCCATTCCACGCGGTCATACGCCTTCTCCATGTCTAGTTTTAGTGCCATCCACTTATCTCTACCTTGATTCTTTGTCTTCAGAAAGTGCATGACCTCCTGAGCAATAAGGATGTTATCCGAAATGTCTCTGCCTTTAACAAAGCCATTTTGGGCAGCACTCACTACTGACGGAAGTACCTGGCTCAAACGGTTAGACAAAACCTTAGAAATAATCTTATAAAAGACCTGGCAAAGTCCTATGGGTCTCATCTATTTCATCGAGTCGGCATTAGGGACCTTTGGAATCAGAGTAAGCTACACAAACAGACCAAGTGAACGGGGGGGCCTACAAATCCTAAGTCTTGGAGACCTGCAGAGTTAATGAAAGACTGAAATTGTTCAACCATGGAGAAGGGAGGGGGGCGGCCTCCCTGCTTCTCTGAGGCAAATAGGACACAATTAAAGTCGCCTAACACTAAGACAGGGGAGACACTCAACGAGATCAAACGGAGCAGTTCATTGAATTGGGAAGCACGGATATGTACAATGGAACTAAGATGCACAAAGAACAAAGCTAAATTCCCCCATACTATATGCTGTAGCTCCGCAAGGATATAGAACGCATCCTTATCTAACACTGAACACTGAACAGCAGGGGCACAAGCTAGAGCTAACCCCCCCGATAACCCTACTGGAGACACGCAACATACTACATTATATCCTAAACGATTCAGTTTTTTATTTACATAATCATCCTCTCTCTTTGTTTCACTCAAGCAAAGGATTGAAGGAGAAAAGCGGCACACAGCTCCAAACAGTGATGGAATCGTCAGGGCGGAACCTAACCCTCGACAATTCCACGCGATGATACTCATCTGGGCTCATGGGACCAGTTAGGGCTGGTTGCCTCCACCACTTCGTTGTTGTCTGCAGCAATCAAGGAGGGATCCTCCTCAAGTCTCTGTTTCTTCCACTCTGGTCCATCGATCATCAAGTCTCGGTCCCCCAGTCGGCCTTGAGCAGGGATTGGGGTTGTATGGCCTCCTTCAGATGGGGCTGCTGCCGGAGAGCAAGGCTCAGGGAACCGGTCCGGTGCTGGGAGCATCAGATGAGCACTCTGTCGACCCTGCGAGGGTGATGGGGCCAGTTCAGGTCGCACCCAGGTGAAGTTCCGACGGCCTAGCAGACTCCGTTCGTTCACTTTGGGACCAGATTTCTTGGAGATCAGGTGCCTGCCGAACGGGGATGGTTTGCCTGCAAGTTCATCCCGGCGAGAGCACTGCTGGCCAATGTGGCCAAGCACTCCACACAAATAGCAAAATTGTGAGAGTTTTTCGAACTTCACAGCAGCAGTAAATTCCCCCTTACCTGACTTTTCATGGGACGCCGGGACTGAGACCGGGAGAGGGAGACGGGAATCCAGCCACACCCGAGCTCGCAGATAGATCTCCGCCGTTTCCTTCGCGCGGTGAACCTCGCCAGGGTCGGTCTTCCCCAGGTAAGCACCAAGGAGGGTGCCCATTTTCCTTGAGCAGCACGATGATGGAACCCCCCAGAATTGCAAGAAGTGAGGCACTCGCCACATCTGTTCAGCCACTTCAGCAGAAACCGCTACCCACGGGGCCAAGTTCACCAGATACTTGGGCAAAATCCAGGGGGCCAGTCTAAGAACACGATTCATATCCGCGTCGGTTGGGAAAACGAATTGCAGTAGGTCGCCCTCCGCCGGAAGAATTGAGATCGAGCCGGAGCAGTTCCAGAGCCCACCCAAAGTGACAAGTAACTGTCGAATTGGTGGCGACGGACCAATCACCTTCCCGAGCAGAGACCTTTCGTTTCGCTCAACCCCTGGAGCGACATCAGCATCACCGAAAACTACAACCCTAGCCTCTGCCATCGCGAATAGATCTCGATTGAAATGGAAGCTTGGAAAGGAGAACCACGCAGCAGAATGAAGAGTACTGCAAATCAACGCCATGGGGAGGGGATTATATAGGCCCATGGAGCCCCTGTCTTCCCCGTCGGCGCACTACGCCGGGGACTCGCACTCGGCGATGCGCACGACGGCGCTAACCACGCTCCCACTCGTCGCAACCAACCGCGCAGAGAGAGGGGAGAGGTTTTTTTTTTTTCCCAATCAACGAGGTCTTTCGGATAATAATAACCCGGTTTGACAACTTTATAAAGTCAAATTATTATTATACCATGTCAGGGTCGGGTCAAAACCCTAAAAAAGCCAAATGACCCGCGCGGCCGCGCCCTGACCCCTGTAAAAATTCACGAACAGCGCAAACCTGTTCTCCATTTCCTTATCGACTGAAAAAGAAAATCCAAGTTTCACCCTAAAATCTCGACCGTCTCTCGGCGGCCGCCGTCCGGTTCCGAGCTTAAGGACGCCGCCAGATTTCCTTCATCGTCGGCAACGAGGCGTTGGAGAAGAGGCACTCCACCACCGACATCGATGGCCGATCCTCGTCGCTCACCGGAAAGGTATACTGTTGTGAAGATTCCGTCGGAGGAGCGTCTGACATTTTCAAACCTCGCCTATTGCTCAGCGGCCGACCATGGGAAGATGTTCGGTGGACATGGCGAACCATTTTTGGTCGCCATTAATGGCGACGGCCATCTCTTTTCTCTGCAATATCCTTTTATTGAGTTTTCTTGAATGGCTCTTCCCGTTTTCTTTTTAGTCTACTGTGTTTGTGGCCTTTAATTGCATTTAAGCCTCTTGATAGTCTTAGGACGGGGGAGATTGCACTCAATGGTAGTCAGCGTAAATGGGCTGCCGCCAATCTCGGCGGACGAGTGACGGTTTCCAGGTATTCCTTCTTTTCCGTGACCGGATATTGTTACTACGATCGACTTCATCTGAGTGTTCCGTTTCTGTGTGCAGATATCAGCCTCCAGCTGATACTGCTAGCTTCAACCTGGTATTCTTAGCGCTTGATTTGACTACTAGCCTCACTATACGAAAAGCGACCGAGGTATGTTTGGATTAATTCTCTTTCATATCGTTTAAAGTTTCTTTAGATTGATATGTTTGCTGTTTGCTCTATAGCTTAAGGCGGATGAGTTTGGACGATATCTCAAGAACCGCTATTCAGGGCAGGTAAATTGGTGTATTAGGTTATATTAGGTCATAGTTTCTCATTTGATGCAACACTTCACATCCTTCCTGCATTATTTCTTTCTCCGCCCAGGTGATTTCACCGGGTCAAATAGTGTCAACTCGCTTCGAGAACATCAAGTATGCGTGTAGGGTGACTCTGTCTATTGGGGCTGATCACATGAACCCACAAGGTTTCCTATCTAGAGATACTAACATCGCCTTTGAGGCAGCTGCTGGTCGCATTAAGGTTAACTTCTGACAACTGTTTCAATCCCTCAATGTTTGCTTTGTTTTACTTTATTCTGCCATTTGGATCTCATTATCTTGTGTCAAGGGCCAATTTGATCTATCTAACTGGATTCTGTTATACTACAGATTGTAAATCAAGATCCCAGACCTCCACCAATCATTAAGGATACGATTGATTTGAAAAGAATGGGTATTGGTGGTCTGAGCCACCAGTTAAGAGATCTATTTCGTAGGATTCTTTCTACACGAGCTTGCCCGCTTGCATTGAGAAGGAAGTAAATGACTATCAAACTTATACAATAAAATATTCTGTTATCAGCATTTTTGTTCTCTTGACTAATTACAATGTTATTATACTCTAGCATTGGGATTCGCAATGTCAGAGGCATGCTACTTTTTGGTCCTCCGGGGAATGGGAAAACTATGATTGCTCGTAAGGTTGCAAATTTGCTGAATGCAAAAGTGCAGGTGTGATCAGTTGATCCTTATATTTTTCGTATATGCAAATAGACTTTGTAGCTACTTATATTAGGAGTTTCTCTCAAGTCAATGAAGCAACCCTCTGAATTGACTTGTATTGTTTTAATTGAATTTCATATCTAGACTGTTAGTGGTCCATCTCTTCTGGATCCATACTTCGGTACGACAGAAAGGAACGTACGAGAATTGTTTGAACCTATCATAAAGGACCAGGTCAAGCTTGGTGAGGCTCCTCTCTGTCTACAGATTTACCTTTTTTCAGGATAATGTGATTCCTGTCTTTTAACTTCGGGGCAATTTTTCTTTCAGGAGAAAAAAGTCCATTGCATGTGATAATCTTTGACGAGTTCGATGCGATAGCGATGGTATAACACTTCCTTACTTAGCTGCTTGCAATTGTTTTTGTTAGCTAAGGTTTAGTATTGACTTCTGCAGAAACGAGGAAGGTCTAGTGGCTCTGGACACACTGACATTATGGTTAATCAGTTGCTTACAATGGTAAGGGGAGAGTATTAATTATTCAATTTACTAATAAATGTGTACAAACTGTCCAACTACTGATCATATCTATGTCGCTGTGAATGTTGATTCTACTATTGTGAATGTTAGATGGATGGGCTGACCCCTCTGGACAATCTTTTAGTCTTTGCAACCACTAACCGTAGGGATCTTATTGACGAAGCATTTCTCAGGTAAATCTTTCTCTTTCAGATGCATCATTTTGATATATTGGTCTTGATAGAGAGGAAATATCCTCTGATATTTCAGCAACCACCACTACTTTACCGTTGCTGTATTGTAGCTAATAGTTGCTGAGTTTCAGCATTCTGTTACAACCACTCTCCTCCATAATAGCTAGAAATCGTTATTTACAATCTGTATAAATGTAAATGGTTCAATAATACAACAAATGGGATTTCCATCCTCACTTACATGGTATCAGAGCCCCAAATTTCCTCTAACGAGGGACTCTGCTTTCTTCTTATTATTGGTCTTTATCATGTTTTCCGAGCCCCTATCCTCCACAGAGGCAATCTGAATTGTCTCTTTTCTTCCTCTTCTTCTCAGCGTCTGTGTCTTTCTTACCTTCACCTCTCTTTTCTATTATGCAAAATGACGACTTCCTACACCACACCATCCTCTGCTGCTCTGTTTATTGCTGACTATGATGGTGGCTTCACGCAGCTAAAGCTTAGCTGCTTTTGCGTCTTCTTCTTGACCTTAGCCGTCTTGTCCTTGCCCTTCAACTATTAGATCAGCAAACCAAAACCCTTCAAAAGTTTCCAATTCCCCAACCCTAAAATATCCAATAATGATAACTTCTCTTCTTCTGCGTCTTCTTCCTAATTACATTATGCTCCTTGCCCTTCTCTCCTTCTAGCTTCTCCCTGTGTGTCACTTCCTCTACTTATCTTCTCTTATTATCCCCAACCCTTTTCCTTTCTATTCTTCCACTTCCACATAATCCTCTCATACCCCTGCTTCTGTTCCTCTTTCCGTATTCTATTTCCTTATTCTACCATACGACAACCATAGCTCCCAAATGAGATAAAGGGCTTTTGCCATTACCAAGTCCTTGGGCCGGCATTGACAGGTCTATTACATTGTCATACGCAAGTGACCAGGGATCGCCAAGAAGCAACTTCGAGCTCATTACCTACCGCTACCAGAACAACTTCAGACGTCCTCATCAAATCATTGGCTCGACTCCCCTTTCATTAATTCTGTTTCAAGTTTCACCTCTCCAAGGTTCCACTTGCGAGGGCGTGATAGAGAGGAAATATCCTCTGATATTTTGGCAACCACCACTACTTTACCGTTGCTGTATTGTAGCTAATAGTTGCTGAGTTTCAGCATTATGTTTCAACCACTTTCCTCTATAATAGCTAGAAATCGTTATTTACAATCTGTACAAATGTTAATGGTTCAATAATACAACAAATGGGATTTCCATCCTCACTTACAGGTCTCTGATGGAACTTCTTCTTCTTCTTTTTTTTTTTTTTTTTAGGCCGGGTCGCCTGGAGATTGAGATTGAGATTGGCCTTCCCGATCTAGCTGCAAGACAAGAAATCCTGGAGATTCATACTGCAAAGCTTCTGGAAAACCATTATCTTGATGGTGATGTATCAATTGAAAATCTTGGTAAGTCCTCTCTGTGTACCTACTTGTAGTGTTGAGATTAGATTGTAGCTAACTGTGGAGCTGCATGTGGTGCAGCTCATCGTACCGACGGTTACAGTGGTGCGATGCTCGAAGGGGTGGTGAAGTCTGCCGTGTCAGCAGCGCTGCAAAGGAATATTGCTCCCAATCATTTAGTCTGGACTGGCGATTACAATGCTTTCAAAGTTCTGGAAAGTGACTTTGTGGCAGCAGTGACTGAGGTTGCACGTGAACATGGGAATGATTGAAGCTTGATGGACTGATAGTTCGTTTTTTTTTGCCTTGATGTTGAGTTGTAGAACATACTGCGGCATTGGTTTGGACTCTTGATTTGCAAAAGGTAAGCTCATGGGCCCGTTTGGATCTATTATGTTTAGGGAATACAGTGATTCTGCAGAGGGTTTTTTTGTTGTTGGTATTGTCGAGACTTTAAGATAGGATCAACTGAGAATATGATTTTGAACTGATAGGGTGGATTGAATCACACGTGTGTTTTGTGTTGTTGGAAGCAAAATTGTGTGGGATGAGTTGGTATTGAAATGAAAACTGCACGATGCCATTAAGCTTGGCCCAATCTGTCATATTTAGCATCTTTGATGGCCAGAACCCGTGAACTCTGTTGGTTTTGGTTCGTTTTTCTACTCAATGTTAGAGTGATGTTACATAAGCCTTTCTCCTTAGTATAATGGAAATCCACCCTGCACATGCATTTACATAGGGATGGGCATTGGGCGATTCACCCACCCAAATCAACCCATTAAAATCCGATCCACCATAATATAATATGGGTGGGTATAGTAGGCGGGGTGTGGGTTGCTTCCAGCCTAACCCATCAAAGTATGGTTGCCATCCACCCAAAATTGACAATGAATCCCTAGAATCCCTCATCAAGCTCATCCCTTCCACAATTTGACGATGTGATGCTAATTTCCAGCCGACAGCCACCAGTGATTTCTTCCAAAAATCTTGCTATGCATAACTGTTTGTGCCTGGAATGTACCAAGCGGTTTGTGAGACTCCACTGACCTTGGGCGGCTTCGATGGTCTGGGGCGGTCTTCGAAACCCTGCAGAAAGGTCCTCAGGGGGTTCCTGGGACCTCCTCCGATGCTTAAGTTAGAGAGAGAAGTGAGGAGAAAGTAAATAAGAGAGAGAATGGAGTTGGTAGAAGTTACCATCAATGTGGTTCGCAATTGAGTATTTATACTAGTGCGGAGCAGACCATGGGCATTTAATGGCTTGTCGGGCGTCCTGGGACGCCTTCGACAGTTCTGACGCTTCCGTACCCTTTTCCAGGCTCCGTACGGATCAGGTCAGAGCCAGGTCTCCCTTTGCCATTGTGTCGGGCGGTTACGGGACGCCCTTGACAGTTCTGACCTTTCTGCTCCTTTGTCAGGTTCCGTACTGGTGGGGTTGGGACTAAGTGTCCACGTGTCTCTATGTCGGGCGGCCATGCATACACGTTTGGACGCCTTTCGCGGTATCCAATGGGAAAGACCGCCTTTGGCGGGCTTTTTGGTGGCTCGTTGCCCCTACTCGGGCCCGACTCGCTTCTTTACGATCTCAGAGTCTTTATGGGCTTGGGGCCCAAGTGTCTCACTTCTTGGCCCAATCATGGGTCTTACGTTGCTATGGGCTTGGAGCCCAGTCGCCTCAATATTTGGCCCAACATTTGCCCCTTAGGCGTGGGAAGCGATAGGTTTTCGCGGCTAAATAGTATTTTTCCACCGATGTTGAGCGGTTCTGGGTGTCCCAGCCCATAGTGCACTCGAGGCGGTCATTGGCCGCCTTTAGTGTGACTCCCTTGTTGCCCCTAGTCGCGGAGACTTATTGGGAGAACGCCTTAGGGGGAAGACCGCGTCCGGTCCCGCCATTCAACTTCCATTCGCCACGTGTCACGCATCGGGCGGGGAGTTCTGACACCGGCAGACGGAACGTCACCTCTGGGGGTGTTCCGCTCTCGGGTTTCGCGAAAAAGGTCTCTTCGGGACGTCACTCTTTCCCTTTTCGCCTTTAAGTATTATTTCAAGGGGGATTTCCACCACTCTCCTCTGGTTTAGGAAAGCACTTCGTCTTCTTCCCCCTTTCTTTCTCTGTGGAGAGCTTGAGGATCGCCGACATCGTTGCCTATAAATTCAGTTTTCTCAGGTGAGTTGTGGCTTTCACTTTTCATTCGTTTGGGTCTCTGGTCGTGCGATTTCTGTAGCGATACTGACTTTGTTCTTGTGGGCGATATTGGCGCTTCGGGTCTTTGGGGTTTTGCCGATCTCGCTCATTCTCGCCGGCGACAGATGTCGGGCGAGGGACCCACGTCATTGCTGAGCGGGGAGAGGGACCCTGCCCCTGATGCGGGGAATGTCGTCCTTACCGAGTCTGGGCCGACGGCGGCGTCAATGAAGGAGCCCGCATCGTCTGCCGCCACCGTGCCGCCCCGCGCTACTGGGAAGAATCCCTCGGGGACCGCCTCTGGTATTCAAGGTATGAGTTATTCTTCTCCCATTCGAAGCACGTCTGAATGCGTGTGGGATTTATCCGGGTTAGAGCTATATGTTGGAGAGGGGTTCGAATTGCGAGATTGCCTTGTTGGAACTTGTATAGACTTAGATAACTCCTGTGCTAACCTCCGCCCTGTACCAGTTGGGGTTGTGGCCACCTCTTCGGCGGTTGGGGATAACTTGGGGGAATCAGATCGGGTAGAACTAGGTAGCGCGTCCTTGGAAATTGAAGATGATTCTGGGAGTGCCGGGGTGCACTCGGAGGCGGTCCCGAGTACATCCTCATCTCTGGAGGTAGTGGAGGACGAGGAGGGAAGACCGCTTCCACTTGCCATTGTCGACTCGGTGTATACCTTGCTTCGCCATGTCGGGATGTGGGACGGCGGGGAAGTTCCTGAGGAGGTTTTTGCCCGCGGTCCAGCACACGCCGCGGTTTTTAGGCCAGAACAAGTGCTATACCGTCTGAAGTCGCTCCGCATGCCTCCGGACTGGCGATATGCGGCCCCCTCCGAGCGGAGCCGCTCCGGGTCTTGCCCCGAGGGTTGGATTCCTATTCACGTCGAGCACGTGAAGCTAGGCCTGCGGTTCCCGTTGGATCCCATTCTGACGAAGGTCCTGCTCTGGCTCGACTGCTCCCTCGGATGCCTCTCGCCTACCATCATTTTCCATTCGATCATGTATCGTTGGGCGTGCGACCGCCTGAAAGAGACTCCCTCCTTCGATGCGTTTCGGATGATATACAACATCCGTGACTCACCCAACGGCTGGTCCATTGGGCGGCGTGAGAATGCCGTGGGTTTCGTTAAGGGGGCGCCGAAGCTCGATTCTCCGTGGTACAAGGAGTATTTTTTTGCTCGCCCCTCATGGAAGTGGTATTCGGGTGACACGGAACCGCGGACGGGTTACTCGGCGGGGAAGAAGGATGACTGGTGCGCGCCCTCTCAGTTCCCTCAGTCGGTGAAGGATCATGTTGCACGTCTCGTGAATGGGATTCAGATTCGTGTGAAGCATAGCGGTCCCGAGAGCGCTTATCAGCACGTTCGTGCGTTTTATGGTTAGTGCCGCTTTTTTGGCTAATGTTGGACTTCTCTTTCTCATGTGCTTCACTTATGCTTTCCTTTTTCAGGCCTTCGCGAGCTGGCGGACGCTAACCGCCCCAAGAAAAGGAAGGCAGGAAGGAATACTAAGGCAAGCAGCTCTTCTGCCCCGGGTGGCGGGGTGGCCATGGCGTCCGTTGACCGCCCGCCGATCGTAGATTTGGCCGGGCCAGATGTTGTGCCGTCTGCTCCCCTGACTCGGCGAGGGGGGAAAAGGGTGGTGGAGGCTCCCGCCTCGGAGGCGGCCGCAAAGAAAGCGAGGACGAGCTCCCCTCGTGTGAAGGCGGCCGGGAAGCGTGTGGATCAGGGGGGCTCAATCTCCCTGTCTCAGTTGGCCGCTACCGATACGGAGGCGGCCGAGCACGGTCTCCACACCATTAGTGACTGGCTTGCCATGCCGACCGAATACACCTCCACATCCGAGGATAACAACAGGCGTCTCGCGGGGACCGCTGCCCAGTTTTTCTTTGCGGTTAGTGCTATCCTTCTCATTGCGCAACCCTCCCTTTTCTTAATTATTTTGGCCTTCCGATCTAACCCATTTTTCTCTTGTGGGTACGCTTTGTAGGCCCAGATTGGATTCTCGCAGATTATCCTTCTGAATGACCGCCTCTCGAAGACAGTCGAGGACAATGCGGTCGAGATCGCCAACCTTCGGAAGAGCATGAGCGGCCAGCGTGAAGCCATCGTTGCAGAGGTGCGGCCTGAGATTGAGCGTGAGTTTTCCGACAAGTTAGCCGAGAAGGAAAGGGAGGTGCTTGCGGCTAAAGGTCGCCTCGAGGAGAGCGCCCTCAAGGCTAAGGAGCTGGAAAGGACTTTACTGGAGGAGCAGGAGGCGCTTCGTCAAGAGGTGGCGAACCTCAAGAGTGAGAAGGCCGCTCTGACCGCGAGCCGTGAAAGTGAACTTGCTGCGGCTCGTGCTGAGGCGGGATCGGCTTATCTTCAGTCAGCTGAGTTCATTTCTTTTGACAAGGCTAAGTATAAGACTGTGGTTGGCAATGTGGTGGCCGCCATCCGTCATTTGTTCAGGGAGGACGCTCCCGATGTCGAGTGGGACTCGGACCGTGTGTGGGATGCGATCGGTCTCTGGTCAGCAGCGGATGTCAACTCGGAGGCGGACGAGTCTGAGGAGGAGGGAGCAGGGGATGAGGGCGCGGTTCCTCGTGATGGAGAAGAGGATGGAGGTGGGGGTGATGTTTCCCCTTTAGTTTGAATTGTTGTTTTCAGACTTATTATGTCCTTGTATTTACTTGTCATGTTGCTTGTGGTGAACAATGGTTTTTGTGAGCGCGTGGGCTCTAGTGCGGGTGAGCACTATGCGTGATATGGACGCATTTCATTTTGTTTTGGAAGGCCCTTTGGAACTAGTATGCGATATCTAGCATTTCTTGTTGATATGGACGCGGTTGGGACAGTGCCGAAACAGAATGTGTTTGGCAGGCTTAGTCCGCTGGCAGCCAAAGTGCGTAGGAGGAGCTCCAGCGGCGCAGGTCGCTTTACATTCGGTGTTAAGTTTTGGGTTTTTTCGCTTTTTGTATTGAAGATCTCTGTGGCGGTGCGGTGTTCGACCGTGGTTTGTTTTTTCCTTATTTTGCGCGAGACTTTGAGTCTCCAGACCTAAGCTTGGGTAATGCGAGTGTCAAGTTTCACAGTGTTAGCCGAAGTAGATATCAGTGTATTACGTAAGGGAAAGTGGGTGCGTGATAGCGACCCGAACACTGTTACAAGTGGGGGCACTGCCCTGTCCACCAAAAGAAATTCAAAAGCGGGTGCTTAACCGCTACCCGTACATTGTTGTGCTGACAATCAGAGCACTCTAGAGCGCATCTGTGTGGTACTTCCGTAGATGCATGCCATTCCATGTCTTGGAGATTGGGTGGCCCTCCATGGTTGCGAGTCGAAACGTGTTGGGACCAGTTTTTTCTCCAACGAGAAATGGGCCCTCCCATGTGGCGGCCAGCTTGCCATGCTCGTCTTTCTTTTGGAAGTCGCGCTTAAGAACCATGTCCCC